ATCTATCTATCTATCTATCTATCTATCTATCTATCATCTATCCATCTATCCATCCTTTTATCTACCTACCTAACTAACTAACTACTCTCTCTCTCTCTCCCTATCTACTGTATTTCTCTCTCTTTCTCTTTCTCTATCTCTCTACCTATCCACCTACACTCCCTCTCCCTACTTACCTATTGTATTTCTCTCTATTTCTCTCTCTCTATCCCTTTCTCTACCTACCTACCTACCTAACTACTCTCTCCTTACCTATCTACTGTATTTCTCTCTCTATCCCTCTACCTACCAACCTACCTACTGTCTCTCCCTACCTACCTATCTACTGTATTTCTCTCTCTCTATCTCTTTATTTCTCTCTCTCTCCCTCTACCTACCTACCTACACTCACTCCCTCTCTATCTCTCTCTATTTTGCTCTCTCTATCCCTTTATCTATCTATCTATCTACCTACCTACCTAATTACTCTCTCTCCCTCCCTCCCTACCTACTGTATTTCTCTCTCTTTCTCTCCCTCTCTTATCCCTCTATCTATCTACCTACCTACTTTTTTAAAATTTGCCTCTTCAAAACCTTGGTGCATCTTATGTGTGTCCTATACTCCCAAAAATACGGTATTTAGCTTTCATGGGAACCCACAAGATGAACTGGTAAGCTGACTGTCAGGTTTCTAAAAATTTGCCTGGAAATATGCATTCTATCCTACAATCCTGATTTAATCCACCAGAGCTATTTTAGGCATTTAAGAAGGCAGATCTGTATTCCAAACTACATGAATATATGCTATTATTGAAAGTGTTATAAAATAAGGGATTTGTGTGTTCAACATAAGAAGCAATATCTGTTTATATTGTAATGGTTCTTAAAACTGTCTTGTTGAAAAATTAATTTTGATTGAACAGATTTCAATGCCACATCAGTGGCTGGAAGGAAATCTACCTGTGAGTGCCAAATGTACAGTGTGTGATAAAACATGTGGCAGTGTCCTACGCTTGCAAGACTGGCGTTGTCTTTGGTGCAAAGCCATGGTATGTAATTATGGTGCATTATTGAGCGATTTAGCTCTCCTTTGGTATATGTTACAGGTGTATTTTCATAAGTTGAGGAAGCATTTCGTTTTTTTCTTTTTTGCCAAATACCCTTCTTCTAAGTCAGTGGTTCCCAAACTTGGCAACTTTAAGACTTGTGGACTTCAACTCCCAGAATTCTCCAGCTAGCTCTTCTGGCTGGAGAATTCTGGGAGTTGAAGTCCACAAGTCTTAAAGTTGCCAAGTTTGGGAACCACTGTTCTAAGTAGTTATGAGAAAATGCCATTCATAATAAAATGTGGAACAATTATGACCAGGAGTGTCAAGCTGCAATAAATGTTAGCACCAATAATTTTCTTACGTTGAATAAAGGAGATTTAATAAATGGTTGGCTTGTTTACAAGTGCCTTGTTTAAAAAAATCCCATTTGAAAAATTAATAAATATTCTTGAATCCTTTCAAATTTGGAATTTGAAACTTAACTAAGGCCTTGCCTTAATAGGCTGTCTTGTGTTTTGGCAAGGCATACCTTAATTATGAAGTACACTAATACAGGACAATGTATCACTGTATCTTCAATGCAAATCTTAAACATAATAAATTTCCTGATATTTTATATCTGTATTATTGTGTGGGAAAATATTAGAAAAGCAAATGAAAAGTCAGAAACCAAGCACTACAAAATTTAATGTGTGTGATTTTATTGTTACAGGTACATACCTCATGCAGAGACCTATTACCAACAAAATGCCCCCTTGGCCTTTGTAAAGTGTCTGTCATCCCTCCCACAGCTCTCAACAGCATTGATTCTGATGGTAAGTCATTGCAGTTGCTATTATGTGTCAGTATTGTCACAAGAGCAGGAATTAAGAAGTATTCTCTGATGACTGAACATATTTATTGCTTATGGCACACTGAGTTACAGTTAGATAAAAGAACTGGAATACCCGGTGATGGGAAGGAAGAAATAGAATATTCTGGCTATCTGGACCCTTAAAAAAGATTTGTACTACAGCATTTTATTGCAAATCAGATCTGTATTTTATATACTTCAGTTTCAAACTAATTATTTGTAAAATAATTTTTAAAAATCAGTTTGTCTTATCTTTTAGGTTAGGCCATAATGGTAAAACAAGAGTTAGAATAAATTTTCTGTAAATAGTTTAATGATTAATCTTCCTCAACCATTGTTTTTTTCCTCCAGGTTTTTGGAAAGCCACTTGTCCCCCTTCTTGTACAAGCCCTTTGTTGGTCTTTGTCAACTCAAAAAGTGGAGACAACCAGGGTGTAAAGTTCCTACGAAGATTCAAACAACTGTTAAATCCTGCGCAAGTCTTTGATCTTATGAATGGAGGACCTCATCTTGGGTAGGCAAATTGTATTCTAGTTTTGAAAATTAACCATTCTTATCTTGTGCTCAGAATAACCAATTTGAAACATTGGTTTTGGTGTGGGCATACAGCTAAAGTGCATATGTTTGATCTGGAGATAGAGTTGTGTTACAGACCACAGTTTTTCAGCAGTGGAGGAACAGAAAAAATATTAGGACTATTGGATGATGGCACGTCTTTCAGAAGAGATAGGAAACAGCGATTGCTGGGAAATTGAGGGGTTGACTTTGTAGGTAAGAACAAGCAAATAAATGGGTGCTGGCTAAGAGTGAATAATGAGGATTGGGAAGAGACAGTGGAAGAGAAGAGAGGGTGCAACAGCAACAGCATTGCCCTATTCTGTTACAGCAACCTTCCAGGTTTTTTATTGGCTGAAACCTGGTACTTCTATCAAATCACAATCTTCCTAAAATGGTTTGACTGAACTTTTGAAATGCAACTTGTTTGTTTTAGACTCAAAACAAGACTTTTTGTTTTGCGCACATTTATATTGAGCTTACTTTTATATAAACATTTGTCCATAAGAAATATTGCACTGCCATTATTATTTAGGTTATTTCTGTGAGTATATTTTATCAATAGGTATGGACAATGTTAAACATTAACACAGTCTTCTCAGAACTGTTGTCATTTTCTTATATTTAATTGTTTTAATTGACATTTAATTATTTTTTGAATAAGAATGATTTCATATGTATGAAGATATTTTAGATAATTTCAAATTATTTATCTAGCCTAGTACCATAACTGAAGGCCTTTAATTTAACATCTTCTGCATGCAAAGGAAGTGCTCATTCATTGAGCAGTTGTCCAATGTGTTCCATTCACATCTACATAAAAATAATAACTTGTCCTTTACAAGGCTCCATAACATCATTTGTTTGTTGAAATGCACAAAACTGGTTTTTTTTAGACATAGCCACTTAATAAAGAACAGTACTTTGTGTTCATTATATGACCCTGTAATACAGCACCTATTCAGATTAATTAAAAATTCAATAAATGTTTTCATTATTCCTGAAAATGCAGAAAATGCAAAAAATGGATTTTAATTAATAGCATTCTAAAATTTGAATAATATCTTTAATGGTATTTTTTTCCCTGTTCAGTTTACGTTTATTTCAGAAATTTGACACTTTCCGAATTCTGGTGTGTGGTGGGGATGGAAGCGTTGGATGGGTTCTCTCTGAAATTGATAGCCTCAGTCTCCATAAACAGGTGACTTTCTAATCCAAGAGTGTTTATCTCTATGTGAAAAAGGATAAATCCCCCCAAAGGACAAACATTTATGCCAAAATGTTAAGAAAAACAATGAAGTGTTGAAAGTTTATATGGCAAACATGGGGTTTTCACACTTTCATGATAAAATTGGGAAGCCCCTTGTTATTAATTAGTAGTCCATAAATAGCCTGGCAAATAGAATTCTGTCCTGACATATTTAAAAGGATTCCTAGGCTGCTATTTCATTAGCCTTAAATAGCTATTTTCTTAAAAGATACTGCCAATTAAGTGCAATTATTTATTGTATCAAAATAACAACAGCATCATAGCAATAAAACTAAAATGTTAAACTTTGGCCAGAGGTTAAATGCATCATTAATAACATCTGTAATTAAAATTAGTTAATCATCCACTCATTCAGTATTAAGAAATAGCAGCTTTGTTCTGGTTGTTGCCAGCCCTATAAAGAAGGAAAACAAAAACTTTAGATACTTAAAAAAGTTTTAAAATGAAAGTTATATAATAATGCATTCATGCAACCCCATAATTACAGTGAGGATTGAAGAGATAATGAAAAAGACTTCAAATAGGGCCTTTTGAACAAATCTGTTAAAAGAATGATGCAGAAAAAATATTTTAATAAATACTTTATGTGTAAAGGGAGCACACAAATTAGATATTCACTGAGGAAACTCCAGTTGGCAGAGAATAAAAGGGAGAATATGCAAAAATGTGGATATAGTATGAATGACATATTAATCTTTTTATCAGGTAATTTTATTTCATGCATCTTTATGCCTTAATAAAATTAGAAAGTGTTTCTTCAGTGTTTCTCTTTTGTGACTGTTTTCAATAAAGCTCTTTTGGTTATGCTTTGTTTTTCTTTTTCCTTCCTATATGTAGTGTCAGTTGGGTGTCTTGCCTTTAGGTACTGGCAACGACCTTGCACGTGTGCTAGGCTGGGGATCTGCTTGTGATGATGATACTCAACTTCCTCAAATATTGGAAAAGCTGGAAAGGGCCAGTACCAAAATGCTTGATAGGTAAATGATATATATTGCCATTCACTATCTGAACTTAATACCCAAAAAGATCAGTCACTTTAGAAGACCTAGGTCTTCGAAACATCCTGTTACATCAGTTGATATAAAAGGCCTAGAGATACATATTTTTATATGCAAGCTTGAATATCGTTCTTTATTACCTGATGGAATCTGACTTTCAGCATAGTTGGCATTTGTGCATTATGTTTAGATGTCTTAAATTTTACAAGTGTGTTAACAAAGCTTGGTTATGTAGGAGGATCAGTTGTGTCACTGTAGTGTGCCATTCTGCAGTCCTGAAAATGCTGTTTAAGTAAAAGCTTTTATATTCCAAGCTAAAAAAGTATATGTCTGCCTTTTGTAAATTGGCAGAATGTGTTCAAGTTTAATACTGGAAGGGGTATTTTTAAAGAAAGTATTAATCTAATTTGTTTGATTTATAATTTTAATGTGCATTATCTGATTTACTTGGGTATTATAAATGGTAATATTCAGAATAGTAAAGTCTGAAAATTTTATCATGATATGTGCCTTGCTCTGTAACAATATTAGTTACATCCTACTTAATAGTTATGCATTAAATGTTAAACTAAAAAGCATTAACTCTGTTTTTAGTATGGTATGATTTCTGTAGCAGTCAATACTTATGTAATTATGTACTATGTGTATTTAGAATTTCTTAAGATTAGGAATTGCTTTGAGTAAATATTACTGTGATCTTTTGGTAGTAATTTAAGGCCATTTTACTGGATGTAGGGAAAATGAACTTCAGTGCTTACTCTGCATGAATATAATGCATGTGTATTTATGTATGTTATCCAGTGGTGGGTTGCCAAATTTTTTACTAGCGGTTCGGGCACGCTCCCGTGCGGAGCCTACTGCCGCCACTACTACCAGTTTGCCCAATTTGGGCCAAACCGGGAGCAACCCACTCTGATGTTTTCTATATGTAAGTATACATATATGGGCCTGTGAATATTCATGCTTACTGATCCTGAATTCACACATTTTTGATCATTTTAAAAGATCAAAATCAGTTGTATCTGCTATGCATTTTAATAGTAAACAGAATCTGATTTGTAGTAATATGTGTAATAAATATTTTTTACTAGATGGAGCATTATGGTATACGAAACAAAACTCCCGCGTCAAACATCAGCTACTACAGTTCTTGAAGATTTCAGTGAAAGTTCCGAGGTAGGTAATTATTAAACAAGGAGAAATTGTAAGGGGAAAAAATTAAACTGGAAACTGAGGTAATAAAATAAAGCAAAAATTCATACGAACTTTAAAATATATAATCTTTAGAGCACTAAAGAGGGATATGGTGCTTTATGTAGATGAAAGGTATTCACAGAAGTTCAAACAAAACAATTGAACAGATTTGAAGTTTAAAATAGGAGAAGGTAAAGTTAGATATAAAGTAGGAGTATCAAACTCAAAGCCTGCAGGCCAAATGCATCACACACCGACCACGCTCATTCCTGTTTTAGCAAAGGGGGAAAAGTCATGATACGTCACGTGACGACAATGTGACACAAGTTTTACACCCCTGATCTAAAGGTTTACATGTTCCCCATTCTTGTTTTACTACAGTCATTTCACTGGTCTGAATATGCTGTAACTTTTATTTTAGTTTTTTTTAAAAATATCTGTAACCTGCCCCCATCAGAAAAGATGCTTTTCTATCACATTGTACAATCTTGTATAATGTTCCCCATAGAATAAATTGAAATCATGACTGTATTTTTATTGAGCATTTACAAATTCTAATTTTGTGCTTCGCATTATTGGCAGAAATAATACAATTTTCTCTGTTTACTTTCACAAGGTACAACAGATACTTTTCTATGAAGACTCTGTGGCTGCTCATTTATCTAAAATTTTGACATCTGACCAACACTCAGTAGTCATCTCATCAGCCAAGTAAGTATTAAGAAGAAAGCTTATCTGATAGAAGCTAGATGTTGTGAATGAGAATTGATTATTACTGTATATTTCTTCTGCCTTCTTTAGGGTGCTCTGTGAGACTGTGAAAGATTTTGTAGCTCGAGTAGGGAAAGCATATGAAAGAGCACCAGAAAGTTCGGAGGAGTCAGAAGTGATGGCCAGAAAGGTATTTTGGGGGCGGGGGGGGGGGGATCATTTTCTTTCTCTCATGCACACATAGACCTATGCTATACAATCACTGTACACATTTTTCTTTCTTCTTGTAGTGCTCTGTTTTGAAAGAGAAGCTGGACTCACTTTTGAAGACACTGAATGAAGAATCTCAAGCTTCATCATCTTTGCCAAACCCACCTCCCACCATTGCAGAAGAAACAGAAGATGGTGATGGTTCTGGCATTGCTTGTGATACTTCTACTGAACTGTCAGCAGGGTCTTCCTGTATTGCTCGTACTCAGATATTTAGACCACGTGAACAGCTAATGTTGAGAGCCAACAGTCTTAAAAAAGCCATTCGTCAAATTATTGAGCATGCAGAAAAAGGTAATTCAGCCACTGCCTGAAATAACTACCTCTATTGTCTGTCTATAGACTTGGGATTTAAGAGCTGTATTCTTAAAATAGAAGTGCTGTGTTCTAAAAATTTTATTTTTCTAAAGCAACTAATTAACTATCCCTCTAATGTCACATTGTCCTATGTAGACCAAAGCTTCATATCTTCATATTTACCAATTCTTGAAGTTCTAACAGAAGTTCTAACAAGGCAAGAATTCCCTTTATAAAAGCCATGCTAATTTGCTTTCAGTAGGTATTGTTTCACATTTGTCAAGTAAGTGCCCTCCAGTGTCTTCAGACAATAATTTACAAAATGTTTGTAATTCGCTGAGAATAATGGCACTGGTTTTAATTAATGCTTTTTTGTCAGAAGATTCACCATGGTTATTTTTTTTTTTTTTATACCAGCTTTTTAAGGATTTTCCAAGTCAGATTCCAATATATATGTCAACTCTCTGTGTTGACATTCCATGCAGAGCATCAGCAGAGCGGGATCTCAGATTACAATAGCTGGGTTGAGATGAATAAAGCTATTGGATAACGAGATTTATGACAGACTGAAGAGAAGACAGAAACATGGGCAAAGTTCAAAAGTAGATAAAGAAAGCAAAAAAGTTGGCTGCGAATAAGAAATGCCTAATTAAGAATGCCTAATGAAGCTGTTAATAAATCATTGCTTTTTGTATTACAATATCGGGTCGCTTATTATGAAGCAGGCATTGTTATGGTACTTTACAATATAATGATTCAATACATAAATAATTTTTTAAAATAAAACATAATAGCAATAAGATCAATAACTAATAAGAGATAACAATAACATTAAAATTATGTGAGTGGAAGCAATAGTAAATAGTTGCACTTTTTGTATCCATTTAAGGTCTATAATAATACTTTCCTGTAGAATCAAATGCTATATATAAATAATTACTAATATTGAAATTCTTGATAATGTGACATTTGCACCTGGTGATTTATTAATTTTTAATTCCAAATAAATAATAAATAGTATAATCATGCATTTATTACTATTGTAATCCAGTTTTACATGGTGTTTTTTCTATAAAAAAGGTTTTAGAAAAAGAAGCTTTTCCCCCTAAAATATCTTTCATTTGGTTTCCAGAAGTGCTGTGTAGAGTTTCAAAAGGGTGCTTCAGTTTATGATGCTCTAGTTAAAAAGCTCTTTCAGATATGCTATTTCAGTCCAGATACTTAAAGAGCTTCTGTATTTGTACTATGTATGTACAGAAGCCCATTTCCAGTGTTCATTTTTTAATCACTTTCCTTCCTCCCTTCTGTTAGGTATGCCAGAAGTTTCCCTCATTTGTTTGCACTTTCAAAATTGTTTGCATTTTCAAAATGATTTTGTAAATTGCTCTTAAGTGTCCTCTTGTGGCTGGATGTTCTCTCACATGATTGTTTAGAACAACTTTCAGCACTGGGACCTCATATTATCCATGTACAGTACAGGGAGTTATATTCCAGATTGAAATAATACCTTCAATCTCTGGAAGATATATTTATTTATTCTTGAAAGCAAACACTCCTATATTTTTATAAAATATAAAATATTATATATTTTTTCTTTCATCACTAAAAGGCTACTTCTAGAGCATTGCTATGTTCTATTATCTCGTCCCTTTCTTGAGGGAACTATCTTCCCAAATGATGTAGATAGTTTGTATAGAATGGGATTGAAATATTTCATCCTTACCTATAGTTGTTGCTGCTAATAATATGTCCCAGTCCACCATACTATAACTTTCACAAAAACAACTTTACACTGCCCTGCATATTTACCAAAAAATAATAAGCAACCTGATCTTTCTTTTAGGGAGTATTGTTAAAAGCAAATGATAAAAGCAAGTGATTCGAGCATTCTTCCATCCAATAAAGCACACTTGAGTTACTACCTTGAAGAAAATATTTTGCTTGGCTAGTTCCCCCAGGATAGCATGAGCAAAGATACCTGACTCTGTTTCTGTTTTACTTTGTAGCTGTTGATGAACAGAATGCTCAAACCCAAGAACAGACAAGCTTTCTTCTGGGCTTTTCCACCCCTGAAGAAGGAAAGGATCTAAGGAATGAGAACAAAATCAATTTACAGTCTTCACACATTGGCAACTATGGATTTCCAAAAGGGAGAAGCCATCGGAAAGGTAAACCTCTTCTGTACACCAGGTTATTTATCTCCCGTTTCCTTATAAGCCTATTTCCAGAACCTACTTGTCAAATTTCATTAAAAAATTTTTTATCAAGTGCTATATGATCTCTGTTGGATGGTCAACTGAATGATTATACTCTAATAGATTTTGTTTTAATAGAACAAAAGAGCTACAAAAAAAGGAAACACTTCTAAAGGAATAGAGCTTAGATCTTCAGGATCTCTGTTTCTGCCAGAGGAGTTCTCCTTCCCTCAGATAGTAAAGAACCCTTTTACTCTTAAAGGGCTGCCTAAAGCTGGAAGTGTGATTTCAGCTCTATACATAGCTAAAATTCCGTCCCAGCAGGTAGTCCTTTTCTCTCTCAAAGATGTGCCTGCTAGGAGAGACTCACAATTCTACGGTAGGTAGCAGCAGCTTGCAACCTTCCCTGTTGACTTCCTGATTAGCTTTCTGGGGAAGCTAGCAGAGAATAATGCAAGTGGCAATCACATGATCACAGGGCACTTGACAACTAACCATAAATGCGAACAGGTTGCCAAGCTGTCAGATCGCAAAACTGACTGCTGGGATGGTAGTGCTGCAACATTTTTCAATGGTCAAAGGTACTTTACAGGACATGAAACCCGCATTCTATGGCCCTCATAATTTCAGACTGTTGTTAAATGAATGGTCGTAAGTCAAGTGGTACCTGTACTTCAGTGTATCCAATGTTAAAGCATTTTGCTCTGTTCTGTTAAGTCAAATTTAAGTATACTTCTCCTTCAGTTGCAATCTTTAATTCTTTCGGGTTAGCTCTAATGTTCAACCTTCATATTACTATCTTAAGAACCCTGCTGGTGCAGTGGTTACAATGCAGTATTGCAGGCTAATTTTGCTGATTGCCGTTTGATTCTCACCAGCTCAAAGTTGACTCAGCCTTCCATTCTTCCAAGGTCGGTAAAATGAGGACCCAGATTGTTGGCGGCAACATGCTGACTCTAAACTGCTTAGAGAGAGCTGTAAAACACTGTGAAGCGGTATATAAGTCTAAGTGCTATTACTTTTGCAGGTCTTTTTAAAAGAATTTAAAATGACAGCATAGGAAGGATTCTTATTGATTTCAAAATTTTATTTCAAACTCTTTTATTTGAAGTCTTATTGGATTTGTTTGTAAATTTGTGAAATCAAACTCCTAATTATCCTTTTGCTGTTTACTCAAAAAGAAAACAATATCTGGTGAGGATTTATAGTGAACTAGATGTCTCTAAGGAGCATGGACAGCATTGCAGCAAAGAAAGATAGTATGCTGTAGTTTCTAAAGTCTTTTTTATATTTTTCAGTTATCAAGTCTCCTTGTGAAAGACTAATAAATAAAGGAAGTATATCAGTAGGAAGCTCTGCCTCTCTCCCTCCACAAGCAGGAACCCGGGACAGCTTGCCAATGTTGAATGCAAAGATCATCTACCCCTGTGAGTTCAATAACCCTCTTTCCATTTAATCAAAATAGGATTGCATGATTATATGTTTCACAGTCAGTGGTGAGCACATAAATCAAGTAACTTTAATCACTTTAGGTCCAGAAAATGTATCAGTCGTTACAGTTGTTTTGCATACGTTAAAAAATCATCCTTGTTAAATACAGGTACAATTAATACCTGTATATTGTGCTATGTTTTAAATTAAGACTTTTAAAATGATGAAACAAACTTTGCTTTCAAAGATATGTGGAAATCATTCACAGCTTTCCATTGGATGATACGGGAAAACACAGGAAAAAGTGTTGGAATCAATTTTTGTGTACTGAAAATGTGCTTGAATCTCTTTTTGTATAGGACTAGCACAGTGGTGGGTTTCAAATTTTTTTAGAACCTCTTCTGTAGGTGTGGCCTGCTTTGTGGGAGTGGCCTGCCAGTCATGTGACCTGGTGGGAGTGGCTTGCCAGCCATGTGACTAGGTGGGCGTGGCCAACTTGTAAAATGTGGTGAAACTCACTTAACAAGGTTCTTTCTTAGCAACCAAAATGTTGGCTCAGAAACTCTGGCATTTGAAGCATGCAAGTCTTAAAGCTGTCAAGTTACAAGACCCTTGCATCCCTAACCCTTTAGAAAAAAAAACCCCAGGGGTGTTCAAACTTGACAGCTTTAAGACTTGTGGACTTCAACTCCCANCCCCACGTAGGCTCCTCCAGATGTTCACAAGCCGGGGCGTTCACGGGGCCTCAGCGTTCTCAAACGGCTGGACCAGCAGTGCTCTCAAGTGGCATTCTCAAGCGGCCTCAGCGTTCTTCCTCCAGAAGCTGAGCCGAGGCGTTCCCAAGCCGCGGCGGTCTCAAACGGTCTCAAACGGCCTCGGTGATCGGGGCTCCTCCAGGGCAGCTGGGCCGCGGCGCTTCCAATCGCGGCGCTCTCAATAGCTTCAGCGTTCCCACAGCTGGGCCGCGGCGTTGGCTGGGCCGCGGCAATCTGAAAGCGGCGCTGGGACTGCTGCCAGCTGGAAACCACCATCCGCTGGAAACTCATCACCCTCCAGGCTTTCCACAAAGCCCTTAAAACCTGGCTGTTCCGACAGGCCTGGGGCTAATGAGTTCTGTCCCCGCTCGAATGGTATGGTTGTTGAGTGTTTTAAATTGTGGTATTGTTTTGTCCATGTTCTTTTTTCCCTATTTTTATCCCGCCCCCCCCCCCCTTGACTTGGTTGTGAGCCGCCCTGAGTCCCTCCGGGGAATAGGGGGGCATAGAAATATAATAAATTCAATTCAATTCAATCCACAAGAGGAGGGGGAAGGCACACGCCCCAGCGACTCAACGGGGGTCTCCCAGTACATGAATATTGATGTTGGGTGAATCTTGGAAAATTAAATCATTTTCAGATTCAAATGGGGGAATGATGGGCTGGCTGCTAAAGCAAGGTCATGGCACATACCTGAAAGTAACTCAGGAAGACTGTAATTCTGGGGGTCTGTCTGGCAAGAACAAAGAATGCTTTTCAACAGGAAATATGCATGTGTAAAGCTTGTAGCATTTATGGGTAGTTAGAAAGTTGATAAAAGTAACTGTCAGCTCTGGCCAGCCCAGAGGCCTGGAGCTGCCATTCAAGGGAGAAACCCGGGCCAGCTGCCAAGACTCACCAGGTTTCCCTCCTCCACAAGCAGTCCAGCTGAGTAATTTACAAAGCTATTGATAACTGACTGAGAACAGTCCATGATTAGTTGCGGGTGGTTTTCGTTCTGGGTCACGAGGGGATGGGTGTGCACACGCGCGGGGTGCAGTTCATCCTAATTACCAAGTAACTATAAACGGTGGTGGGGAGCACTGGGTGGCAGCTCTGACAATTTTTTCATTGCCTTAGTGCTTTGTTGGTCAGTTCGTGCCGGAGGAAGAATACAAACTGCATTTACAAACCGCTTCTGTGTTTGGCTGTTTTCATTAACCCTTTGGAACCTGACAGTTTGTCAGAGCTCTCACCAGAGCTTACACCAGAGCTCACACCATGACTGAAGGGACAGTGCTTGGGTTGGAGGCTGTGGGCTTGGAGGACTCTGCCGTGGCAACTGATACAACTGTGCTAGAGGCTGTGTCAGAGCCAGCAGGAGAGGCACCATTGGACGTAAGGTCTAAGGACCACTTGGCGGCATGGAAGCCTACAGCAGAACCTCTAGTGGCCGATGTGGGCTAGGCCCATGCAGGGGATTGGTGTCTGGGCTTGCCAGCAGTTCAGGACCACGAAGCCTACCACCCCATGCTCCCCAGCTCACCTCTTCTGGAACCCATTTTGGCCAATGGCGTGAAAGGCACAGCTCAGATGATGATTGGAGTTACACCACCGTGGTTGACATCCCAACTCTACAGATGCTGCAGGAAATGTTTGGGGCAGTGGGCTTCCGAGATAATGGACATGGCAGTGGTTGGAGAGGGTCCCTGGAACATGGATCCCAACAGACAGGGGGAGTCATTGGACAGTCCAGCATAACCAATCCAGAACAGTATGGTGCTCAAGGGGCCACAAGAGTAGGAGATCAGCAGCCTGGGCTAGGTTTACACCAAGATGCCTGGGACACCTGTGAGAGATGAGCGGTGCAGGCGAGCTATGCACCTCACTCTCTCCTTACCCAGAGGGGGTCTCCAGCTGGTTATGGGCCCAGAGTGATTGGATGCTGGGACCCACTGGCCATATAGGCTACGTTTGACGGTAGCCCGGGACGAGTGGCCCTCTTCTTAGGCCAGGGGTAAAATCACATGGATCGTTACGACCATATGTGTAAGTCGCAGTGGGACATGGTGATGGCCATGAGGCAGTGATGGACGGAGAGGCTGCTGATTGGGTGGCTGATCTGTATTGGGATCATGCTGTGGAACTCACGGACATTGGTCTGTTCCTTATGGCATTGCGGGAGAGGTTTGAAGATACCACCAGGATCCAGCAAGCGGAAGCGGAATTGCGGGCTACAAGACAACAAGGGAAGCCAGCAGCTGAATACATTAGAGAGTTCCGGCGCCTTGCCAGCAAAGTGAGGATGTGGCCAGAGAGGTTGGTGGTGCATTACTTTAAGGCTGGTCTTGACTGAACACTACACCGGGCCTAAGTCTACAGAGGGTTGCCACCTAGACCGACTGCATGGATCCAGGCCACCACGGAATTAGCTATAGAGTTCCACAAGGATAAGCCAGGAAGGGAGAGGGGTAGGCGAGGACAAAGACTGCAACAGATACGTTGTATCAGAGCTGCCCCAAAAACCCACAGTGGTTTCCATGCGGCAACCTCCATCACCGATGGCAGATGGACTGACAACATCCATCTGGCCACCCATAACATGTTTTCAATGCAGGAGGCCGGGACATAGAGTTGCAGTCTGCCATGAGACTGGTCCTACAGCGTCCGTAAGCACACCAAGGAAAAAAAGGGGACGGCCAGGAAGAGTGTGAGGGGTGGCCAGGAGAAGTCACACGGGGTGAGCCAACCAGTTCCTATACCAGTTGACTCCAGCCCATTGGGTGATATGCTCAATACCGGTGGCAGCGATGGGGGAAGGGTTCTCACCCAATGATAACTAAGCCTATCAAACTGTTTGTGATACCGGTAGTGGTGGAAGCAGCCAGGCAACGACAATGTACAGCCCTGATCGATTCAGGGTGCACTCGTTCCTTAATGAATGCCACAGTCGCTGATAGTCTGGGGGTGGGCCTCAGTGTAGTAGAATTAAGAGACCAGGAAGCCAAGCGATGCAATATAGGAAAAGTTTATTGAATGCGCAGGTTCAAACATGCAAAACAAGCATCAGAAGTTTGAACCCCGAAGGGTTCTTAAAGCCATACATTTATAGTGCAA